AAATTACAAGCAAATATTTACTTCACAAGCAGTCTATTTAGCCATATTAGCTGCTAATGATTCCTCTCACAGTTCATAAGCAAAATGACATCTTAAAATAAACAACACCTGACAGATTCATTATTCAGTTGTCACCTCGTTTCAAAAGATCCTTCCTGAGGCAGTATTTGCTCTGCTCTGTATTTGCAAAAATATCCTGGAGAATTAAGATGGAAAACACCGCTAGTCAGCATGACGCTAACGATGCTAACACCAATTACTCACAGCTGAGAGTTATATAAGAAAATTTGGAACAACTAAAATCCCTGATTGACTGCTCAAGGGACCGGACACTAATGAAACAATCTTTCCTTTGCTAGCTCGCGCTGACAGTCGGAAAAATGGGAGTGAATGGGAAGACACCAAATTGCAGGCACCTTTATCTGCACACTCCCAGGTTGGGTGTGATTGTAAGTTGTGTGGGGTAATGATCATGACTGCAGGCGAGTCTTTATGCTAAAGTGTCTCTGTCTTTTTAAGCCTTCGGCAGCAGCTGAGTGACTTTGATCTGGCAATCAGCAACGTGGAGAAAAGGAAGATGAGGAAAATGACATTTTTAATAGCCTGCTTCCATTTGAGGGAAGCAACTTGAGGTTAGTATGTTCTGTATGAAAACTTTTCTCAAAAAAACAACAACAACAAAAAAAAAACATAGCCATCTACAATACTTTAGGCTCAAAAGTGTAATCTGTAATTTTTTCTGAGCTAAATAAATTGCAACTCTCAGATGACACACCCACAAACCGCCAACACAGTCCACTTGACTGTCTGATGCACACAAAAACTGAAAAACACTTCACAGTCTGGCAAACTCGATAGATAGACATGCCAGTCAGATGGAAAGTCAGTTGTTAGAAATCTGTATGTACTTAATTTAAATGGCTCATTTTTATTGGCTTATTATTATATATTATATCAGCTTCGAAGCGAAAGGCAACTAGTGCGTGGATCCACTTCCATAGTTATACCTGCGCTGCGGAGGCCATCTCACACGCCAATTCCCATTAGCTCATTCAATAGTACTCGAAGATGATTGATCCCTGCCGTGATCCCCATTCAGTCGACGTCTATTACATCCTCCGTGCCATCCTTGCATACGCAACCAGGACGTTATCGCATGTGACCTCCACATTATTTGCTCACTAAAGCCAATTTCTACTCCCATTCGGCATATATAAAATGTGTGGTGTACAAACACAAAACACAAACATGACTTCCTACCTCCTCACAGTGGGTCTTTCCACAACACTTTTATTGAGAAACCAGGTACCATACAAACAAAGAAGTATTAAATCCCAAACATAATAACAGTGATACTAATAATTCTGTGTTTCTTTCTATAAATGTCAGCGAAAATGTCAGATTTAATCATGCAGGTGGCATTACTTCTGTTAGCACGCCAAAGTCGGACAATAATCTGTTTACTTGAGAATTCTTATTCGCACTAATTTAAAAATATTTGGCTCATGTTTTGTGAGAGGCTTTGATATGAAATGTCAACTGCAATTTGTCATATCTCTGAGGAAATCACCTTCTCACCTGACTAACAAGGTTGACTGGACAAACATGTAAATAAAAATAAATATGAATGTTTCATCACATTCTCTAGTCGCGGCTCAGAAAATGGCTCAGTACCTTTACAACAGCTTGCTTGGTAGGTGCATGCTATTTTAACTGTAAAAACGTTAGTATTTATGATCACTTACAGTTTGACTGGCATCACAAATCCCTTCCCAGACAGCAAACTGACATTGAATCAACGTGGAAACGACGTCTCTCATGACATTGAAACAACGTTGATTTTGCTCATCGAATTAACGTTGAACCAACGTCAGACGCGGCATTCGTCAAAGCTAAATGAAAATCGAAATTGGTTTGCTTTCATAACGTTGAAACAACGCGTTGATTTCAAGTTGATTTTCCGTTAGTTTTGAAAGAATGACGCGTCTGACGTTGGTTCGACGTTAATTCGATGAGCAAAACAATGTCAGATCAACGTTGTTTCGATGTCATATTTCCACGTTGATTCAATGTCAGTTTGCTATCTGGGTTTGCTACAACCAATAAAATCTCATAGAAGTTTGTAACTGTTTTACATTTTGGCGAATTGTGACTAATTAATATTTGTACATTTAGGACGTCGTAGATATGGATGGATGGATGGATGACAGACAGGTGAGCAGGTATCATCCAGTCCATTCCCGATGGATAAAATCCTACCAGTATTTATTTTACGTTCAATTTCTCTTGGTTTGGAGACAAAGATATGATAAAGCCTGATATATTAACTGAGGTCAGAATTCTGTGCACTATATCTTGGCTATGACCTTTGCCCCCTGCCACTCCTGCCGTCTGTGTGGCTGACCTGCTGGACGGGCAGCGCTTCTCCGATATTGGGGTCAGCTGAGTGTGTCTTTCCTGTTTGCGTAGGATGAGCAACTCAGGGAAAATGTGCCACCTCAGGGACTAGAAACGCCACAGTTGCAAGTTCCAGATTATGGTCTATATTCCTCTGCTGTGTCTGATGGCTGTGTGAATTTTTTTTCTGCTAAGCTTGTATTTATGTCTCACAGTTGGCGGTGGGAGCTGATCAATTTTTAGATCACCGCAGCTACACGATTCTAATTTAATTCCCACCTGCTGTCTACAAGGCAGAGTAGTCTTTAACGCTAATTATTGTTAGCCGCTAATAGCCGCAAAAACACAAGTGAACAGTTAGTGATTTTAATTTAAGTAATTGATTTAATAATGCACAAGCATATTTATGTTCCATTGATCCAGAGACAATTCCATCTGGTAGAGTGTCGGATTCTGATGTTTTCTCTCGTTTTGTATATGCCACAAATTGGGCCTTATGGAGCATACATTGATACGGTATCTAGGGGCTAGTTGGAATGGAAAGTAATGTTGGGAATTAGGGATGAATGTCCCATTCAAGTGGATTGTCAACCTGTGTGCTAATTAGGGCTATGATGTGTGCCATTATAAAACTCCTGAATCCAGCGTTCATTCATGAGCTTTGTCTCGTTTGATTGGATCACGATTCCCAAATCCATTTTAATATATTCTAAGCCCAAGAGTGTACTGATATGCTAGAGGAGACACAGCTGACTTTTTTTCTCTCTGTCTCACACAAGGCTTTAAAATCTCTTTCTTTTCCAGACATTCAAAGCCATCACTGGTGTGTGTAGCCTGACATCTTTACCTACCTTTGTCTGCTTTTGAAATTGTTCACAGTTTCTGCATTGCCATATGGAAACTTTTAACATGTATGAAATAACGGGTGGATGGATGACAATAGTGACAATGTGCAATTAATAGACATAAACCAACAAAAGGCGTCTGCAATGAAACAAGGTTACCATGGTGACATTTGCACATTGTTACTTTTCTATACAGCTTGCATTGCACTCTGTTTGACCTCCAGGCAGCCAAAGCAATGGCGGCAGATGAGCGCGAGTGAGATTGTGCACTTTGATAGTGAGGACAGCCGATATACTCTGGCACCAGGCCAAGGATGCTGAAAAAGGACGGATGACCTGCGTCAAAACCGGCGCTAACAGCTGCGTAGGAGGACGTTGAACGTTCCTGAAGAGCCCCACTCCACTGTAGCCCCAACCATAACTGGCTAAACATATGGACCCTGCCCTCAGAGAGCAAAGATTGCAGAAATTAATTTAATTACACTTTTTTTTTTTCCCTCCCGTTCGACGCAACGGGATATTTGAGCAAGCAGCGCTGGGATGGCTAGAACATTACTAGTGCTAGCCGCTACATCTTACCAAAATCTATACATTTTCATGAGGATTTGAGACTTTATTATTGGAGTTGTACACTGGAACTAGCTCATTGGCATTCATGTCCTTTTGTAACCACCCTTTAATTGACTGTTCGTGAGAACTATTAGTAGGATTATTAAATTTGATTAGGGTAGTTTTTTGACCTTAGCAATACATTGAAAAAGGATGGGATGAGGTCTACTTCCATTGGCCTAATGGTTGTCCTTGACTCATGGGCGTCAGTTTGGTTTGAAATGTGCTGGGGACAGAAACGCATTCGAAAGGGCATTTTCAATAACGCATTCATTCTTTTTTTCTCTTTCGAGTAGGTCATGTTTTGAAAGACGATGTCCTGTAGCTTCCTTATGTACATAAATAAAAATGAGCACAACGTCCGAGTATAGTGAGTATATAAAGTATATACGCCCTTGATTGCATATGTACAGTGATGGTCCAGAGGTAGAATTTTTGACTAGCGTGTCGGGACTCGGGGGGGTTCGAGGTTCTAATCCGCACTCGAATATTTTTTTTTCCCCTCATCAAAACCAATAATGTTTATCAGTGGTTGTATATGTTTTGATGAGGGGAAAAAAATATACGAGAGCGGATTAGAACCCATGAGAAAAAGGGACGCGTTTGTGTGTATTTTGATTTGTGATTTCACCGGGAACGAATCTCCGCAACGGATTGAAGCGCGTTTCCGAGAGAAGACAACACATTTCAGTGCTTGATCGCCTGTTATTTAACAAACAAATGAAACGAATGGTGTTAACTGGAGATGTTTTATTTGTATTAGTACATCTGTGCAGCGAGATGTTTCAAAAGTGGTCGGTACAAATTCGACCCTGGCAAAAAGTGGTGGGGACATGTCCCACCCGTCCCCCCCGTAAATGACGCCTATGCCTTGACCCCACCCCATGACCATGTAAAATCAGGATTCTTGACAGAAATGTCTATGGTAACGATCACCATCACATTTCTATTTCATCTACTGCAGGGGTTCTCAACTCCAGTCCTCGCGACCCACTGCTCTGCATATTGTGTATGTCTCCCTTACTTAACACACCTGATTCAGATCCTCAGCTCGTTAAGATAGACTCTACGGCTATCCTAACAAGCTGAGGATCTGAATCAGGTGTGTTAAATAAGGGAGACATACACAATACGCAGAGCAGTGGGTCGCGAGGACTGGAGTTGAGAACCCCTGATCTACTGCAGTGCAAGTGGGTAAAATGCTCAAATTGGACCCAACAGACTTTCTAAACGCCTTCCTGGTCTTATTGTGCGTGGTTCTCCAGTGAATGTTATTGCAAATGTCTTTGTTTCCTTTTCAGGTAATAACTTGTTGGACCTCTGAAACAACTTTTCAGGCAACAGCAGAACTTTAAATCCCTTCGTCTTCTACCTAGATGAAACGTAACACAATCTAATAAATTCCTGATAAATAAAATCAAGTCACAACCTACATTTTTTTTCCCTAACAGAACATTTTTTTCCCTCAGATTCTGAAAGTAAAATGATTTGCGGACAGCAATTCATGCTTCTTCAAGATGTGAAGGTTTTAGGACTTGCATAATATGAGCTTATAGGTAAGACACGCATCCAAAAATGCAGGCTTCTTGAGTTGCCTCTATCACAGCCTGTATGCCCTTACTTTAATGACCCAAAATATGTAACAAGGTCTATTCATAGATTATTCTTACACTAGCTCTGGTTTTCTAACCCTTCACAGCTTAATTATCCTCTTTCCCGCCTCCAGTCTCATCTCTCCTTCTGCCCTGAGTTAACAGGTTAAAGAAAGCTCTCAGTAACAGAATGGCTCTGACATGAAGAGAAGCACTCCTGATTTCGTTAGAGGCTGCAGTAAGTCTATTTTCCTCTAAGAAATGGGGTTACGGCTTCGTCCAGACTTCCCAAATTACAGTGGCATATTCTGTAATTTTTCAGCTCCACACATTACGCTGCAGACCTTCTCCTGCACAATGGAGATATGCATATTTTACTCCGACGGCAAATGAAGCCGTCTCTGGACTGGATGCATCTTTGTGTGGCTAAAAGATAACATGGAGTAAATTTATCACACGTTAACAACCATCGTCAGAGAATTCAAATGCAAGTTTAAGAGTCGCACTTGATCACCAAGACAGGACTGTGATTGTTGGTTAACGTGACGTAGCAACAGAGAGATTTTAACCAGATTTCCAATCACAGTTGTTATTATGAATGATTCCCTTTGTGTAAGAAGTCTTTTGTTAAGGCTAAATTGCAGTGTTCAATACACTGTGTCAACCCTCTCATTTAGATTTGACTTGGTCTCGGTCAGAGACAGTTTGATACGACAAGAACGAAGCACATTTAAGGTTTGAGAGCTTAAGAAATAAAGGGCTCAGGGCGAACCATTTCCTTGTTTGAAAGGCAAATCATTAGTCTGGAGAGAAATGTCATATGGTGACATCCATTTGTACTGCAATTGCTCTCTGACAATAGCACGCCTTTTTATGCTAATAAAAACAGCTTTTAAAACATGATGATCCTTTAGCACGAAAGGGATGAATAAATAAATAATGACTTCATTGATTCCCAAGTGCTCACAGAATCTCTTTGCTTCTTTAATTTGAGAAGTTATAACATAGTTGTCAAGGGTTAGCATAGGCTGGAAAAAAATGCATCTTATTTCTATTGATGGCTGTTCAGAAATACCTGTGTATTCTGACCAAATAAATACGTTTGTACGCCACATATAAACAGCTGGTTTTAAACGGGTGATGAACTGAGAAATCAAATTTTCCTTGAGCTTCCTTGATATTATAAGAATATACTGCAAGTTTCAGAACTGAAAACGTCCTTGTTAGTTCAATAAAAGCTTTTATTGACACCAGCCTCAGCAAACGACTCGTACTATGACGATAAAACACAACCCCTGCAGGAGAAGATCAACGCCTACTTCAACACGGCCGGATTAGCCCCGCCCACCGATTCCAATGGGACTGCATGGATAAACTTTATTTTTAATGACGTTCCAGCTGGGTCGAACGTGTATGGGCAAATCATTCCGGTTGCCGTTTTACAACATTGGACGTTTTCCGAACACTTTCCCCCAAGTGCATCGACGGGTGAGTTGAAACTCATTATAATATGCAAAACTGTTATCCACTCACAGCAGTGGGCGTTTACCAAGTCTTCAGTGCGAGACACCAACACTATCTCACGACCAATTCGTACGAATTCGACGCATGATTAAAAAGTGTCTAATTCGTACAACCTCACTCGTACTAATTCGTACGATTTGTCTAAACCCACGTGATGGTTAGGTTTAGGGGCGGGGTAAGGGGTAGGTCATTCGTACGAATTCATACGAATTGGCAAATTCGTAAATATGTACGATTTAGCAAAATCGAATTAATTCGTACGAGTGAGGTCGTATGAATTGTTACGAATTAGCCACTTTTTAATCATTCGTCGAATTCGTACGACTTGGTCGTGAGATCGGGTTGGAGACACCCATAAAAACCGAGCGTTAGGCTCAAAACTAGGGTACAAAATAACCTTTTACTTATTCATTTGGATGTTTTTTTTTAATGCAAAAACCAAGCGAAACAATATAATAACGTTTAAAAAGCCAGTTCATGACCCCTTTAAACTGTACTTCTGGGGAGATAATGTTGTAGCCGAGCAGTCGTTGAGATGATTGGGAGTGCTTATGGAAAACTTTCTCAAAGTATTCTAGACTTGCTCACTTGTAACAGTTCATAATCCTCCTGACCTTTTTGAACCTCATTTGAAAGGTGGACTCTTATTTTTGGATTATTTGAAATATCTACTGCACTTTCTGAATCCATTTCCAGACCATTTCCCCTCAGCATTAAGTGATCATTATCCAGTCTTCCAGACTACTGCATCCAACCCTTGAACAGGACCTAGAAACATGTCATCCAGCCAAGTGGGTGGAGTGGAAAACAAACCATCTCCAGCTTCAGACACCCCTCCCTCCGCCATTAAGGTGCACCTGGCCTATCACTGCTGGACAAGCCTAACTCAGCAATACTGAGTAGTTGAGGTGAGCTGAGTGCTTTTCAAACAGCACAGAAGTGATCAAAATATTGCCGTTTCTCTGTGTACTGTACTGTGGCAGCATTATAGATGTGTAGGAGCAAGCGTCTTCCATCACACTTATATGAATGTGTTGAAAGGAATAATGAGAAGGCAGGTTTTATGATTAGCACAGGAACTCAACCAACGACACTACCGGAATAGTACCTGTCAAGCAGCTTAAATGACTGACAAAAGCTGTCAGTGACTGTCAGCTAAGCTAATCGTCACACTTAAGGCGAAGAGCTTTGGTTAAATTAGATGTGTTGAGGGCTAGGACTGAATGATGTCTAATTTAATGAGGTGAGGTTGTAACTGTCAGTGGATGCGCTACAGTAACAGATTACAGCACTTCAAAATGTAAAAAAAAATCTTAAAGTTTCTGATTAGCTGCGTGTCACCGCAGCCTATGAAGCATTCATGAGTGTTAAACGTTATTTAACATCTTACCCCGCCACACTTTTTTATTATTTACCTCAGGGAGTGGTGAATTACATCTACTTGTCCATTTGTCATGGGACGTCTTTGATCCACGTTTCTGTAACGCACTGTACGTCTTGTTGAAAAGCCATGCTAGGTGTGTGAGTATATCCTATCATTCTCTTCGCCTCAGACGGCCCCCGAAACAGTTTGTCTGGCTGTCACCTTATGCAGACTTCATCAGCAATGATACCCCCACCAATGGTCTGATAGCAGACAGATGGTGTTACGATACACACACCATTTGTCAAGGGAAAAACCTTGAAATGGGTTGGGAGGTTAGATGTGATCTGTAACTTAATGTGTGGGGGCCCTCGTGAAAAAGAAGTGTGCTTAATTGTGCTCTTGTAGTGTACTTCAAATATTAAAATTATGTTTTTAAAAACTAAATCTATCTAATTGCATTTAATATGAATTTAAAACACAATATATTTTAATTCAGTTATGCAATCAAGTGTCCGAGAAGTATTCTTTCAAAGTATATATATGGTGTTTTCACAGAATGAAATTTGGATCTGCAGTCCCTTTTTCAATGAATATAAAATGAAATTGTAATCTCTTAGCGTACATTTATATTCATTCATTTTGGAGCTGGATTTATCCAACAGTTCTCACGGATCTATTTTATCCATATATCTATTCCCCATGATTATTCTGGTGTCGCTAGCATCAAGTTTAAACACAGCAACTTAGCATATGTTAGCATTGTTTGTTTTGGATCATGGAAGCTGGTTTCCTGGCTAGCTAGTTGGCTAGTTAGCTTGTTGGTCATGTTTATGTCGCAACCTGTCCATCTTACGACCTCCTGACAGGTTTAGACATACAAGAAATTTGCTTCCATCGCAGTTACATAGCAGCCTTTTCTAGCATGAGATGCTAATGAAGAGCTAAGCAGGCTAAGCTTAAACTTTAGTTCATATCATCGCGACGACAGCCTGATTAATTTCAACTTAAACCCTGGGGATTTCCATCCATACTTCAGGATAAGTTTTGACATTCATTAAGTTTAAGCATTAATGCTTCCAGAACAAATTAGCGTAATCTGCTTAGAAAGGCTACCACACATAGAGCTCTTTAAAACCTGGCAACAATGGGATGATATTAAAATGCTCTCCCCGAACAGACCAGTTGAGGATTTATGAGCATGTTACGAACACAAGACTCTCTTTGACAATTCTAATGAGTCATAAATTGGATATATAACAATGATGTTTTCAAACTGGGAGCTACTGTGCAAGAGCTAGGCTGATTCATGTTTTTTTTTTTTTTAATTAGCATGTCAAATTTTCGCTTGTACGAGTCAACAAGTACATTGTTAAAAATGCTCTTCCTTTGTGGTTTGCTTTATTGATTCTTTACTGCGAAATGCTAAGCTAAGCTGACAAGTTTGACACATGGCTGACTCTCCGTAGTAATCTACTGGACGTCCATTTTAACATGGTGGGCTGGTCGTGTTTGGGATTACTGAGGCTTATTGATTTTAAACATGCACCATTTTAGATGGATTGCCAATACAAACCAAACACTCGAGCCAAGAAAGGACTCATTCAACTCTGTTTAACATTCAGCCCACGAGTTCACGTATAATTAACTCTTGGGTAAAAATGCCCTCAGGAGAGTCGCTGTGGAGTCTCGACATAGGGCTTCACTTATGTAGGAGAGTGTGTGTGTGTGGCCGTGCGAATGTGTGCAGACTTTACGGAATATCACGCTAGTGTAAGTGAATTAGTGTAAATGAATTAGCCAATTAAAAGCAATAACACGGCCCAACAGGGAATTTCATATTGCAGACCAGCAGCATTAGACAACCTTATGAAAATGAACAAAACTACATTTTCCCTGCAGTATGCATCTTTAAAACCAAGATCTGTTTTGCATTTCTTTCTTTCTTTCATTATGCCAAATATGGAAGCATATTTCAACCAAGGTAATTGTACTTTCCCCCCTCATATTTATAGCTTTATATCTAGCAAATTTGGATCTCCCAATGACTTTATATCTCACAATTGCAAGTTGACTTATAGTATGCACTGTGAATTTATTTTTGAGGCATCTCACAAATATGTTTTTACTTTTTACTCCAAGAAAAATTTTTGTGGATGTGTTTGAAGAACATAACATTATCTGTTCAGTATCGTACCTGTAAACTCACAGATTTTCTCATGAGAACACCGTGTCCTAGTTCTTTCCATAGCTTTTGTTCTTCTCAAAATGTAATGCAGAAAATCTATAACATTTCTGCTGTGAATAAATAGATTTCTAGATAACCAGTGGCAATGAGCTGATTAAGCTTTTCTTTGTTTTCTTTTTTGTTCTTAGTGGCTCATCAAATATTTAAGAAAGTCAAAAGGGTCCATTCCCAAGAAATCACTTTTGTTTATGATTTATGTGTATTTTATAAGGAAATTAAGGGGGGAAATGATGCCTTTTGTTTTATGCTGCCCCTATGATAAATTGGGTCTCAGAGCGCTTCTTCTATTACCATCATTGGGAAAAATTGATTGCATATGTGGTATGATTGCGCATTTTCTCTACTTTTCATGTATAAATGTGACGTTTTATAGTGGAATTCCAATGGGCAATTTAGACGACCCAAAGCCCAATTTAAAGCGTTATCGTTTTGTCTTCATTACAATGCAGATTATTCGTTTGCTTGAGTTCAGTTGTGCAAAGTATGCATCTTTTTCCAAACGATTCAAGTTATTGATGACCTACTACTACTTTTGTGAAAAAAACAGCACAATTATGTATCCCAAATGCATTGCACCCAGCTTGACTTTCCATTTAAAATGTTTGTCATTGTAAATTTTGCAAACCTAGCAAAAAAAAAAAAAAAAAAGTAGGCATCATTTATATATTGTCAGGTGGATACCTCGTACCTCCAAACACGCTACTTTTCGGGGGAAAAAACGTATTGAAAAAAAGAAATAATTAAACACTGTCTTGTCAAAGTTGATGCACACTAAAAATTGTTGGGGTTGTTTTTAACCCGACTTTGGGTCA